TGTCTACCTGCTGAGTTTTACAGCCTGGATGGTACGTCCATCATGGACTCAGTTGTGTTCAGGGTTTGGGGCCCTGTTACAGTTCTCAAGTGACTTAGAAGAAACTCAGCAAACTTAGAATGTTGAAGGGAGTTTCTGGTCACATGCCTCCTCTACCAACGTATCAAACAAAGCAACCACATACAGAATGAAAGAAGGCACAGGGTAGCAGAACTCTGTAATCCGATTCCATTTCTTTCTGTTAAGCTGAAGATTGGGGTTGATAAAGGCAGACTTGATGCCATGGTTCAGATCTGAAGTGTTCTCATAAAAGGCTCATGTGTTGAAGAATTGGCCCCTACCTAATGGGTCCAGTTCTTGTGAGGCCGTAAAATCATGACAACTCTGATTTAAGCAATTCTTATTTGATGGCAGTATTGTCTCCAGAGGTGACAGAAGTTTTAGGAGAATGGAATGCTGTGTCACTGAGGTCTATGCTACAAAAAGGTGTATTTTGTCCCAACTCTTTTCTCCCTCTCCTTTTCCCTTCCTGTCCCCCTCTTTCTTTCTCTCCTTCACTGTCTCCTGTTCACCATGAGGTGAGCTATGTTGCTCATTACACGTTGTTCCCACCATAATGTCCACCACACATGAACTAGCAGAGACACACAGGGAAATGTTTCATCCTGAATGTTTCTTATTTGAGCAGCTAATTGGACCCTTTAAATTCTGTCTATAAATTATGACCTTTATGTTAGTTGGCTAAACAATAACACAATCCTGTAGGCTGTTAGAATCACTTCTAGTTTGAGTATAGTAATTGACCATGACTAAACACAGCGGGGTTCCAGGAACACGATTGTTTAGCTTTCAGTAGGGAAGCCCTGATGTAGAAGATCAAATTTGCTACAGAACAGCTGATGTCTGGAAACAGAGAGTATGGGACAAAGTTTTTAGAGGGAGATCAGACAATGCAGATCAATTCTGTTTAGATCCAGAATAAGCTCTGAAAAATAGTCAGGTACAGGAAGTACATGTTTTTGTTCATCAGTAGAGTGAACTAGGGTCTAATAAGGGAGGGGCAGTTGGGGTCATACTGTCTGTTGGGGATAAGTGACCACAGGCTTGCGTGGACAATGAATGACAAGGAAGGAGAAAAAAACTATCAGTCAGTCTGGCCCCTGCCATGTCAGTGCTGCCTCTGTGTGGCTGCAAGCACGCTTGGGCTCTTTGTAGGTGTCCCCTGATCTTATTTGCTCTTTAAAGACCATCAACATGGCAGTTGTTTGGCTGAAGTATGATTCTCAAGAGCCACAAGTCAAGATACCAGCCAGCCAGAGGGAAGAGAATGGAAAGACAGGGCTACATAATAGTTTTTTTTTTTTTTTTTAAGTTTAACTTATTTTTATGTGTTTGGCCTGCATGTATGTCCGTGCTCCATGGGCGTGCAGTGCCCTTGGTGGCTAGATGGTATCCCATCCTCGGGAACTAGGATCTGACGGGTTACAGATCATTGCAACCCACCGTATGGGTTCTGAGAATCAAACCTGGGGCCTCTGAAGTGTCCATCTCTCCAGGCTCCACAGCTTCTTTCTTTCTTTCTTTCTTTCTTTCTTTCTTTCTTTCTTTCTTTCTTTCTTTCTTTCTTTCTTTCTTTCTTTCTAGCAAGCAGGGCCTCCTCATTCTGTTCCCCTCTTTAATCTGCCTGCTTTTCTAGCCTCAAGGACACCCGTCCTTTTCAACTTTTTTGTAATTCTCTGGTTCCTGCTTCTACACTTGCCTCCCCTTACTTAAGTTTCTTTTTCTCTTCAGATCTTAATGCTTCCAGGGGCCCAACTTTAGCCTGCACCTCTTCCCGGTTTGGAATCTGCCTTATCCACTTATCTTTTCTCATGCGATCGTAGTGGCTAATTTACATGCTTAGTCCGAACCCTCTGAGCATCTTGTATGCAGTAGCTTACCAGTGCCATTTCAAACTCAACCATCGTCATAAAGTGAGACCAACCAGCACGTTTTTCCTCTCATGTTTTGATTGGGCTTTATTCATCCGGAGTCCCCCTGCATTGGCCTAGCTAAGCTATCTACATCTACCTGAACTTTTTTTGACATCTCCCTGGCCCCTGCCTCATCACATAGTCACTTACTCGTATTTCCACCTACCTTGTCTCTCTGTACTTTACAGTAGTTTTCTACTCATCATTGACAAAGATATTTCTGGTAAGAAGGGTAGAACGTCATGACAGCATGGGACTGACATTACACAAGTCGTGAAAACGGTCCGGTCCTCTGCCCCGTCTCTCCAATCTATGTGTCTCCGTGCCAGCCCCCTTCCTGCTCTGGATACGAAGGTTAATGGGTGCCTGGTTCCTCAATAGCAAGCTGTATAGAAGGTACCGCATGGGTTCAAGCCATTTAAGTCGATTTTTATTTTTATTTTTTTCTTGGCAAGACAAGTTCCCGTACTTCAGGGATCTCGGTTCCACTTTGGTCCCCAGAATCTGCTATGGCAGAAAAGACACAGCGCACGTGAACATGGCGAAAATGAACAGAAATACTTTACATGAAACAGCCTTTCTGCCCCAGCTGATGGCTTTTTAAGATACCCGCTCCCTTGGGCTTTGGAGCGGGTCGTCTCCCCAACATGCAGGTGAAGGGCAGCAGGGTGGCTGGTTGCCTGTGGGCTGGGTTGGCCCGCGCGCGCCTGCGCCCTCTGCTGCTCCAGTCCTGGCGCGTCTCCGCGCGCGTGTGTCCGTCCGGAGAGAAGAGGCTTGGGTGACAGGCCAGGGGTTGGGGGAAGAGTTAGCCCGCCCGAGTGGCAGTCTCACTCCCTGATTTCTCGGCGGCGGGGCCGCAGGAGGCTGGCCCACTGGCCCACCTTCCCGCACCAACGCCGTCCTACCGCAGCCGCTCCATCTCCCAGCCCGGCAGACCGACGGGTCGTCACCCTCATCACCCTCGCTAGTGAGTGGCGGAGGCTCGCGCGCCCGGCGGAGCCGAGAGCCGTCCCCGGAGGTTCTGTCCTCCCACGGGTTGCGTGTGTGTGCGTGCGTGTGTGTGCGTGTGCCTGTGCGCGCAGGGGGTGTCCCTGGGATTCCGCGTGCTCCGGGCGGGGACCGGCGCGTCCATCCCATCCGAGTCTGCGCCGCGATGCGCTGCGGCTGCTCCCCCGGAGCAGGGGCTCCGACGCCGGGATGCCCCAGTCGGGCGCGCAGCCACGGGTGGAGTTCCCTGGGCAGGCGCAGGGGCGAGCGGGCGGAGCCCCAAAAGCGGGTTTGCGAGCCGCCGGCAGGCCGGGAACCGGCGAGAGAGTCCGGGACAGTCCTGGGAGAGGCGGTGGCCCCTTCCCCCCCCCCCCCCCCCCCCCCGTCAGCCTCTCCGCCCCTCTCTCTCTTATCCCTTTTCTCAGCAGCACCACAAAAAGCTTAGGGCGAACCCCAGCGCCGCGGAGCCGCGATCCCTCCAACCCGGTGCGCGTCGCCGCGGGGCGGGAGGAGGGGAGGGCTCCCCAAAATTAGGGTTGGGGTTTACAGCCGGGGGTGGGGGAGGAGGGGGCTCGGCGAATCCAAGCCGCGTGCTGGATCGCGCCAGCAGTTGCAACGGGAACTCGTGTGTGCATGTGTTTGTGTGTGTGTGTGTGTCCGCGCAGGCGTCCACACGGCTCAGGGCCCACGCTCTCGGGGTGCGCTCAGTAAATAGCACACCTCCCCGCCAGCCAGCGCGCCCGTGCCGAGTCGCTTCGGTGGGTTTCCCCGCGCACGCCGGGTCGGCGTGCCGGCGTCTCTTTGTTTGGTTGTGGCTTCGCCCAGGCATCTGCAAGGCAAATTGATTTTCGGTTTCGCTCAGCCTCGCGCTCTGGGACCTAACGCGGGCCGCAGCCTTGAATGCCCTCGTTACTTGTAATTGAATAGTTCTTTCCGGCAAGGGGGCTATTTTTAGTGTGGAGAATAACCAGGCGAGCATGCTGACCTCCTCCTCCTCCTCCTCCTCCACCCCAGCCCTCCACCCCTCCCCTCCGGCTGCCTCCGGCTTTGAATAAGTAGGTGTCTGATGGAGCAGGCGAACCCACTTCTCGTCGCTCCCACGTGCCGGAGTACACGCAGTTTTCTTTCTACCGCTGGGGGTGGGGGATGCGTTTTAAAATTTGAGACCGGGAATGCACTGTGTGTTTGGTGTTTGTGTGTGTGTGTGTGTGTGTGTGTGTGTGTGTGTGTGAGAGAGAGAGAGAAAACTTTCCTTTGTTCTTGGGGGATCTTCTATTTTGAGTCACGGAGTAGGAGTACAAAAAAAAGGTTGCAATTAGTTCACTCGAAGAAAAGACACCGCCTCTGAGTCAGAGCTGCCGGGGTTGATAATTATTAACATATAAAAGCAAACGCGGTGTTTAAGGCAGAAGGGGCGGGGCGGGGGCAGGCCTGCCGTAGACAATGAGCGAGAGCCTCGGCGGACCGCCTGCTGCTCATTGTTCCGGGACTTGAGGCTGCGGCCTCGGAGGGTTCCTCCTGCAGGGTTCAGCTCCAGGCTAGCACCTCGGTCCCTCTGGGGACCACGGGGTTACCTTAGCGTTAGCCCCCGGGGCGCCGGGACGCCAGCCCCAGCTGCCCCCTTCCCTGACCGTTCCTTCTCTGCTTTGCAGCTCGGCAGCTTGGCGACCCAGTGTGTCTCAAGCCTTGCGGTGGACACCGAACACCCCCGGGACCACCAAGCGGGATGTCGTCCGGACAGTGGAGCTAAGTGACCCCACGCTGGGCACAGGGCGCTCGAGCTTCCGGCCACCGTCCGAGAGGCGGCGGCGGCGGTGGGGATGAGCACGGGACGCGCAAAGCGCCTGCCGCGAGCCATCCCCGGGAGGTGGACACCGAGCGGGGCTCCTCGAAGGACCGCGCGGACCTTTACCTCCCCCGGCACGAGGTGGCGAAACCTCACCGTGGCGCCTCCGCTCAGGATGCTCTGTGCTGCTGAGATGTTCTGCTACGAGATCCTGCCATGGCTCCAGCCCCTTGTGTAAGGTGGATGAACTGTGCCGGAGACCTCCTTGTATGGGATCAGAGATCAATTTATAAGAGCCATGGACGAAGGGGCTGCGCAGTCCCCGGGCCAAGAGCAGCTGGAGGCACCTGCCCAGGTAGGAGCTGTCCAAGGGAAGTGTGAGTCAGAGACCTTCAGGTCTAAGAGTTTACCGGTCCTGCACAGTGCCTCCTGCCGGCAGAATCTCAGGGCTGAGAATGCAGACGTCAACCTGGCCTTGGGCCGCCCTGAAGCTATGGGTGCCCGGGAGAAGCATCGAGGACGGAGCTTGATAGTCCCTAGTCCTTCCGCCCCATCCACTTCGGTAGGGACTGCCGCGGGACTCATGGACTGTAACCACAGGGTGGACCCCGGCAAACCCGTGTCGGTGTCTTCGCCTCTGGCCGCCCTCCAGGAGAGAAGGTGTCTCTACGTGGTCCTCACGGATTCTCGCTGCTTCCTAGTGTGCATGTGTTTTCTGACCTTCATCCAGGCATTGATGGTCTCCGGGTACCTGAGCAGTGTCATCACCACCATCGAAAGGCGCTATAGCCTCAAGAGTTCCGAGTCAGGGCTGCTGGTCAGCTGCTTCGACATAGGAAACCTGGTGGTGGTGGTCTTCGTCAGCTACTTCGGCGGCCGTGGGCGAAGGCCCTTATGGCTGGCGGTGGGTGGACTTCTCATCGCCGTCGGGGCTGCCCTCTTCGCCTTACCTCATTTCATCTCACCTCCCTACCAAATCCAAGAGTTGAACGCTTCTGCCTCCAACGATGGCCTTTGTCAGAATGGCAACTCCACGGCTACCTTAGAGCCTCCTCCCTGTCCCAAGGACTCTGGAGGAAACAGTCACTGGGTCTACGTGGCTTTATTCGTTTGTGCACAGGTTCTCATTGGAATGGGCTCCACACCGATTTACACCCTGGGACCAACCTATTTGGATGACAATGTCAAGAAAGACAATGCATCCTTGTACCTAGGTAAGACTTGCTATTCTCAGTCATGTAGTTGGCTCACAGAGGTTTTTCCTTCTCTTCCCAAACGCAAAGGAACACGATCTGTTGTGTTTTCAAATATAATAAGCGTTATAGTTCACGCCTTTTAAGTTCTATTTTTCTTTCCAAGACAGGGTTTCTCTGTGTAGCCTTGGCCGTCCTGGAATTGGCTTTGTAGACCAGGCTGGCCTTGAATTCATAGAGATCCACCTGCCTCTGCCTCCCTGAGTGCTGGGATCACGGGTGTGTGTCACCGCACCCGGCTTTAAATTCTATTCTTGGTGTGATGTTTTCAGTTTGGGGTAAAGAGTTCTTGGAACTAATTTTCAGATGCACCTCACATTTGGGCTTTCCCACCCAATACAAACTCTCAACAATGGGATTGGTACAGGGCCCTTTTCTCTTGCCATCCACCTTTGGGAAATCTCTATAATTTGTCAAGTTTCTAAGAGATGTCCTTCGTAGAAAAGACTAGAAAACAAGAGGGCTCACAGCAGTTTTGAGACATTGCTTTCCTTTTTACGTCTCTTTCTCATCACCAGTAGCAGAAGACGGGATAGCCAGACCACAGTCTCACTCCCATCCCTGTATTCTGAACATGTCTCCATCACCCAACACCAACAAAGCCTGAATAACAGCAGCTTATAGATATAACAGATATAACAGTAAGTTATATCTGCTCACGAAGAAGCAACAGTACAGGCTGTGAGGTTTATCCAAGGCTGTTCTCATTGTGCTTAGAAGACCTCAGTGTTTGGAATTTGGAGAGCTCACTGCTGTCTCCTGAAGAACACGGACAGGTTCTAGGGTTTGGTTCCTTGACTTGCATTTAAGAGCGTCAGTGGACAGACGTGTTTGTGGCGTACCCATGGTAGGCCAGGCAGGTAAGGACAGGGCTAATTGACTTCCTAGAAGAAAGTTTGATGGTCATCAGTGTCTCTCTGTAGCTAGTAACTGCTCAAAAGTGACCTAAAAGATGAACTTGAAGCCCTGGAAAGGATCAGTGTTATGCTAGCTGAGTGCTCTGTTTTTCTGTTTCTCTACTGGAGTTCACCTAAACACTTAAAACACCTAAAGGCTCTGTGTGTGTGTGTGTGTGTGTGTGTGTGTGTGTGTGTGTGTGTATACTTGGGTGTTGTTAATCAGGTTTCCCCTCTACCCCTGCTTCCCCAGAGACAGGGTTCGTGGCCTAGAACTCACCAAGTGGCTGGCTAGGCTGGCCAGCGTAAAAGTTCTTTTACTTAGTAACTCCTTAGCTATGTGTTAATAGGAACCTTGATGAGTGAATACGGTTTTCAAAGAGAGTGAAAAAGATGGTCAATGCAAGAGGGCTATACTCTGTCCTCAGTACATCCACTGCCCTTAACAAGCCTCTGAATTGTCTCCAGTAACTGGCCCAGTGCAGTGCTTATAACTTAACTTTGTTATTAAACGTAAGCACAAGATTTCTCCTGCGTATGGAGGAGACTGGTTACTGTGCCTCCCTGTGTACTATCATTTAATGTGGAGAATTTTAACAACTGTATAATAAATATTAGTATATCCACTCAGTAGGCTTAACAATTCCTCATTTGATCAGCTGTGTATGGCGGCCTGCACCTGTAATTCCAGCACTTGGGAGGCTGAGGTAAGGGGATTGCTGTGAGTTTAAGGTCCCCTTTGCCTATATGGTGAGTACCAGGCCGGCCAGGGCTACTTGGTGAGGTACGGTCTTAAGCAACAACAAAACCCTCATTTTGTCATGCTCACCAGCACCTCTTCCCAAATACATGTGTGTGTATATTTGACGTGCGGAACTAAGCCAAGTGTGCAGGTACCTCTTGTAGAAATAGAGTGCAGCTGAGCCGTAGAGTGCTAGAGATGCCCTGGATTTGCTCTCCAGCACTACCAATAAGTAAACCAACAAAAAGGAAACCCAACAAATCCATTCTTTTCCATACCAGCAGATGTCCCCGGATGCTAAGGAGGTTTAGAACCGTTACCGCAATATCATCAAGCTCCTTTTCAAATTCAGACTTCAGTTGTCACCCTTTTATTTTTTAAATAATGTTTTTTTTAAGTAATGTTTTTAATAATGTTTTTTTTTTTAAATAATGTTTTTTTCCCTACTAATGTTGAACTCAAGAATTCCGTAAAGGACACTTAATTAATATCATTATGTTTGGCCGTTTGTCATTGTAGCTTCCATAATGCAGAATAGTGTTTCAACCGTTGTATGTGTGTGTGTGTCTTAGACTTTTTGAGGGGTCAAGGCCAGCTGACTGATAGAATGTTCACATTCTCATCTTATCTGATCATTTCACCGTGGTGGCTATAAACTCAGTGAGATCATTTGGGTCAGACCATTTGATAGGTGATGCTGTGTGTCTTATATTACCTCCATCTGGACATTCACTGGTGATGCTAAATTTAATCACTTGACGGAATGGATGATTATCCAATGGAGAAATAGTTTCCTCCTTTTAAGAATAATCTGTAATTTTCAGAGTGATGTCTCACATCCGTGTGATTATCCCAGGACGTTTCCATATTTCTGCTGGTCTTTATTTCCATTAACATGGGAACATCAGATCCCTTCCATCCTGCTATAGGCACTCAACTGTCATGGACACAGGCTTCCACCATCAGAGTCATGGGCCTTGTGTAAAGAGAACACATCTAGTGTCAGAATGCTGAGAGTTGCTTTTTCCCGAGAAAAGAGCAAACACACATTAAATACATATTCATTCATAGCCTGTGCAAGATAATGTTCTGGGAATTGGCTCCAGGGCTTTCCTGTGCTTCTCATGTGCTCTACCACTGAGCTGTGCCTCCAGCTCCATGCTCATTTGAGAAAAAAGGAAATGTCATGAATCATAACACTTGAGAAGTTTTCAGGACAGGTGTGAAGTGACACTTTTTTTTTCTTTCTTTCTTTTTAAAAAGGTGTTGCCTGAATTGCTTTTTGTTTGTTTTTTCTTTCTTTTTTTGAAGTAATTTTAAGTTGGTGACTGCCTTAGGAGACATTCTTAAGGAAACCCATGATAATTCTGATTTACATAAAGTGAATTTTAGTAATCAAAACAGGATATTTTTTTTTTTTTCTTAGAAAGAGGCTCATAGTGTAATCCAGGCTGTCCAGGATTCATAATGTAGTCCAGGCTGGCTTTACATTTTGCAGTCCTTCTGTCTCAGAGCTCATTGGATACTAGGAGTACAGACACATACCAACACACCTGATCCAAAAACCTTTAAAATGAGCTTTTTAGGCTCCTTCTGAACAATCTAAGATCAGGAGATGACGGCTTCCCCAGGATACAAACAATGGTAACCAGTCCAAATGTGTGATTTCCTTTCTAGCGAGTAATGATGGTGAAACACTTCATATTATTTTCTTCACACAACTGATGTTCTATATCACCCATCTTCCTCCCCTCCTTTTTGACCCCCCTAGTCAGTCTTTCCATCAAAAAGCAACAACAAAACCTAAGGCAAACTTACAAACTGTGGCCAGGAACAAATATCCAAAGTAACATTAAAACCATCACTATAATGGATGGGGATATAGTGGTACATCTTCATCCTGGCAAGGCTCCGTGTTAGCACTCTGGTAGCTTTTGAAAAAGAAGAAAAGAAGACATAGATTTGATAACAAGGCTTTACTCACTAAGCTCCCTGACCCTGCTGTATAGAGAAAGCTCTGTCGGTACTGTTAAGAAGTGGGCCGGGCAACTAGACCATGATTTGTAATTATATCTCAGAGGGGTGTATGTGTGTGTGTGATATTTCATTGGCCAAAAATCCAAACCAAACCAAACCAAAACCACAGGGAAAAGAGGGGAAAAAAAAAAAAGGACAACCTATGGGAATAGAAAGAAAGGATACATTTCTCAAATAATGTCACTGGTGGGGCTGGCAAGATGGTTTGGTGGTTAAATTATTGTCTGCCAAGTCTGATGATCTGGGTTTGATCCCTGAGACTCGCCCTGTAGAAGGAGAAAAGTTACTCCTGTCCTCTGACTTCCACACACATGTCATGTCACATGCCCCCCCCCCTTCCATCCCTAACAAAATAAATGACGCGCACTAAAACCCCTTTAAAATCTACTGGAGCACTTGGACGCCGTTCATGATAAATGGTGATTGGGATGGGCTGGCTGGCGGTCAAGCGAGCGCAGGCAGCAGCTTTGATGCCTCCCTGGTGCTACTCCTTAATCATCAGCCCTGGCTCACATCTCTGGAAGGACTGGAGTTGGTTCGAACCCTATAGACAGGGCTCTCGAGTAGGAGGCAAAGGCCCATATTCTATCCTGATGTCGCTCTGGAGTACTTTACACACCCTTTCACTTCTCCTAGCTTCTAATTTTAATGGGGATAACGACAGTTTTTCCCCCTGTAATATTCTGCAAAGTAAGCAGAATTTTGTGTATGTAAGAGTTCTGCCAACAGTCTGGGTGGCACTTTGTGTCAAAGCAGAATTCAAGCTCATCCTAGACCATGGACCATGGCGTAAATGATGGATTGCTACTGCATGTGTCTTCTTTAATAATAAGAAAGAGGAAAGAAGTATTGCACAAGAGATCAAAGGATTGTGGAGGAAATCACTCCCTCAGAACAGAACACAGGAAAGTCATGACCATCATTTCAGCCACGCCGTTTCCTCTCTACATTTTATGAGGACTAAAGGTCCTGCCACCATGTCAATCTTGGATGACTGTCTTTCTTTAATGTACGTCACCAAGTGCATTCATGTCTTGTGCAACACAACAAAAGCTCCTTAAGTGTGAGGCGTTTGGGATGGCCCAGTTTCACCACTATTTATTTTTTATGTGGACTATGCTTTGAACAAATGTACTTTATAATAGTGGCCTTCTAGCCCCAGGCAGCTTGCAGCAACCTGGGAAGCAGGAAGGGGCTGGGCTGAGAGTTTACTTCCTGGGTGTGTCCTCACTCTCAAGAAGCAAGAGGAGGCACAGTAACATCTGTCTTTCTTGAAGACGGGGAGA